TGTCCGTCTTATTTTCGTGAACATGGTATCTCCAGAACGCCTTGAAGGAGTATCCTCAAGTCTGGCACAAACGTCCACTTGGACTCAAGAATGAACTGATTAAAATTTGGTGGTCGAAGGTGACCTCACAAAACACTTTTTTTTTGCTCAGAACTCAGAAGATCATGCTAATTATGACAAAATTTCACGCAAATGTCTAATAGGATAAAATGAAGTGCTGACATTTTCTATTCAAAAGGTCAGGTGTCAACTTCACTGTGACATCATAATATTTTGCAAACACAATTTTCAGGACATTATTCGATGTCATTACTCAGGGCCAGAAGGAGAGAAATTTGGTCAGATACTGAATTGGTGACACTTCTCTTTGGTGCCCACGTTGAAACTGTGTTTAATAGACCTTCTGTGCTTAAGGTGTTTGTGTGAAGCATCCATGTTTTCACAGACATGATGTACTGCAATGTGACTGGTGTGTAGAGGTATGCAACCACGAGGTGGTAAGTCAGTGTGTTTAATTATTTGGTAGCACACTGAAATGAATGGAAAAAAATGGCTGTCAGGAGGGTAGGAAACACAAGCACAGTTTATTTAATGTATCTTTTAAATAGCTCGCATGCAAAAACAGCCATACTGGACTTTTTGTTAGCTGGGAACATTTTGTGCTCTGCTTCTGTACTCTGTGTTGGTTCTAGTACTGTAAATACTATCCTAGCTTAATCAACATGTCATGAATGCATTTATTTAATTTCATGTAGAAAATCAAGAACAAGCAGACAATCTAATAAAAGAGCAGATTTATTTAGACAGTGAAAGCATTTAACCTCAGGGTAGTTTGGAGTTCAAAGTGGCTATAAATTAGATGTACAGTAGTAGTTCACAGCAGATACTTCCTTCCTTTATTTCCCCCCAAGTTACAATTACACCACAGTTATAAGTCAGGTCCTTCCTCTTTAATAAAGATAGCAGGATAGCGCTTCTTTAGCTATAGTGATCAAAACTTGTTAGGTGTGTTGGCTGCTCATGTAAAATAGCATTACTTACAAGGGACTATCAGCATTAATCTATCTGCAATAAATACTCAGCAAATACTGAATAAAAGCCATTGTGTCACTTTCTGGGAACTAAAATTGTTGATAGATATTTGGTGTAATACAAAAAAGCCTATGATAGTTTTACATACTTTTATGGAAGTCCAGAGATGCCAATATTAAAATGAACCCTCGTAACCAAATTACTCACTTTCCAATTGAAAAGATTTAAATTACAAATTTAAAATCTAACTTTATTGTTTGATATATGTCATTACTGACAGAATGAAAATGAAAATAAAAATACAGTGCCAATTTTGTTTTCAGTACGGGGTGTTGGTGGATTAGTGGGTAGAGCAGGCGCCCCATGTACAAGGCTGTTGCCGCAGCAGCCAGGTTTCGAATCCAGCCTGTGGCCCTTTGCTGCATGTCATCCCCCCTCTCTCTTCCCCTTTCATGCTAACCTGTCCTGTCCATTAAAGGCAAAGATGCCCCAAAAAATATCTTTAAAAAATTTTTTTTCAGTACACCCCTTAATAAAACACTGTTATAACATCGTAAGTGCTAATAGCGTAGGCAACTGGACTTGCTTGCGTTTCTGTTATAACAATGAACACTTCTTTTTGTCAAATTGGCAAATTAAACTTGAAAATAAAATGGCACTCTGGACTCTTATATGACCTGATTATCTTGTTACTAATGAAATTAAATTCTGCCATAATTGCAGGACAGGCTTCATATAAAAATCTGTCAAAGTCAACTATTCAATCATTAAATTTGATGACAAAAAAAGACCATCATTTTAGTTAGTAACAATATCAAAAATCAATTAATCTACATTTTATTTTCACATCTGTTTGGTTTATAAAATGTCAAAAATACTGTAAATTGGCCATCCCTAACGTGTGTGTGTATAGATATA